TATAATTGATATTTGAAGGTCAACCCACTGTCGCACAGACCACAACAACTGTTTCGTACAACGATCAAGATGTTAAGAACGGAGGCGCCTTCATACAGATAAAGGAGATCGTTGACTTGCTGCCTAAAGTAAAAGAAGCGTAGTCCAAGTTTGTCTGCTAGGAAACATTAGAGATTTATTTGTATCAAATGGCAGGCTTTATGATATTTATCATTAGCCCCTTAGTTGACATCGGCCTTCACAAGGAGAGGGGGGAAGGATAACCAATAGAAGTTCATCGGTTGACCTCTGACTTCCCAGTATCACTGGGTTTCTGTCGTTATCTTTAAGGCTGAACATCGAATCAGGTGGGTCTTCTCCATTTCCTCCTGTAGGTCACATAGGGAAGGTGCTTTGACAAGAAATCGTGCCCGGTGCATAGTATAAACTCTGTAACAGCTTCTATTCTTAGCCAGTCAGCTATGTTGAAGAGTGCCACTATCCACTACTTCTCCTTCGTTCATGCATTAAGTTCGTTACTTCTTGAAGTCTTGAATTCTCTCCTGATTAAGGTCTTCATTGTATAGAAAGAGATCGGCTGGCCCATGCCTTGTAAACGTTTGGTCCCCTTATCAGCAAATGTGTCAGCGCGCTCATTGCCTAAAATGCCAGTGTCCGGGGATCCATTGAAGAACTAATGCTTTGTTTTTTCTCTCAGTAACTGATACAGTTTTTTTACATTCGTGTACTTCGGCTGTTTTGGGAGGTTCTCCGTTTCAAATTGAATTTATTGCTGACTGCGAGTCCGAAAGAATGACTGCTTTGGCCTAGTGCTATCTCAATGGTCTCTATTTCTCCTTCAAATGTGAATCTATTTTTTCCCACTGCCACAAAGAAAGAGAATAGTTCAGTGTAAACACCTGCACCAACGTTTGCTTTATTTTCTACGTGTGACCCATCAGTGAAGACCTGGAGCAATTTAACTGCAGGATAGTTTACATTGATTGTCTCAAGGGCCAATGAGCGCATGTAATCTGGAGGTGTGTCTGCTTCCTGAAATAGTCAAGCAGTTAGGTGCAACATTGTATATCAGTGTCTGCTAATTTGATGTGCTTTCTTCAGCTGTTTGGCATTCTGTATTAGACAAGATTGCTTTTTTGGGTGTCTTGGTCTATTCTCATAGGTGCTGAAGAATGTGTGGGAATGCGCAGTATCTTCTCATACAGGGTCAAGGCCTTCTCTTTGATAAGTAAACATATTGTGGTGTTCCCTGTAACCATGAGCATTGCATCAATGGGTGCTGATTTTATCCCTGGTCGTGCGTCTTCTCGAGTGGCTTGAGAATCACCTCGGAGCTGTAATGAGTGGCCCATAGCAATACAGCATTATTGGTTGAACAAACATCTTATAAGTGGTGTTTAGGGTTGAGCGTACACGGCCCCATATGCTACCATCGAGGCGCTTCAGTACGTTCAGTCTATTGGAGGCTCGTTCTTCTACTTTCGCAGTGTGGCTTTTCCATGTTATCTTTGTGTCAAGCGTCACTCCGAGATGAGTGACCTCGCTGGTGTTCTCTAGACATTAGAGATAAAGTGAGCATAAAGCTATGTGAAGAAGTAGTCAAAACAATTCTCACCATGAAGTGGATTCGAACTATTCAGTGTGACTAATGCAATGTGGCCTATTTCACACAGATGACTGGTCATATTGTTTATAGCTAGAGTTAATTAGAAATTATTGGTAGTAGAAAGTACTAGCCACCCTTAGATCGAAAGAGCATTGATAATTTAATGGGAGAACTGAGTTTTTAAAAGAAAGTAGGTGAGAAATAAATTGGTGATCCCTCTGTGATTGGACCGACTACAAATACTCCATATATAAACGTATTACTATTATCATATATGAGTTTATTAACTTGGTTCCTTCTTTGTAATATTTATTTATTTATTGGTTATCAATAGTCTTTTAGCTGACTTCGGGTTTCACAGATAGGAGGAATTTAAAAATGAGAAAAATTCGAGAGGGGAAACTGAAGGATGGTTCACATGTGTAAGAGACAGGTAGACACGAAGGCAGAGAAAAAGTAAGATGAGTACTGTGGTAGTTTGAAGTCAGAAGTCAACTGCCGGTTAATAGACTTTTCCCCCTATGAGTATACGTTGTCCAGGTGGAGGTAAGTCCATCGTACTTCCCCTTTTTTATAGCATTGTAACGCAGAACAATAGCAATATGATAATTCCTTTTTTACCAATTTATTAAATAATGGGTTTTGTTTTTCTGTGGTCCGTTAGTTATGCCAACTATTTCGGTTGATCTCTTTATTTCAACTGCATCAAGTAAGTCTTCGATACCACGGCCTTCTGGTGATGGTCTCTCTCGCCCTCTCTCTCTCTCTCTCTCTGGGAATTCTACTCTTGCTTATGATTTAATTAAACTCATAATTAACAAAACACGGGAAAAAGTGTAGCGAGAAATTGATGTAATGTGGAGGGGCAAGATTTGATGTTGTTTCATTTGCTTAAGTTCCACTAAATCTTCAAAAGAATTCTCAAATTCTTCTTAATTGGCTTTGAATTAAAAGACCATCAATCCTCGTCAATCGGTATTCCATTTATTGCTTTCTGTACAACCCTATAATCTAAAATTGTCACTCATTTAACCCTGCAAGACCTTACGGTCCTCATTCAAAATAAGCTCCATTGGTACTAGACTCATAACAGAAGGCGGTATTGCCATGTGAAGCATGTTCAATACGTTTATAGCCTTCTCCTGATGCCGCCAAAATTCGCCACGTCGACGTCAGTCTGTTGTGAGACACGCGTGAGTGCAAATGAGTACATTTTTCAGGAAATAATTCATGAGCTATAGGGCTAAGGTTTAATATCACCATTCGGTGGGCCCATCCAGGACAGTTCCTCTTTACCATAATCTTTATTTAAATCAAATTTATTTACCTTTTCAGTAATATATATTAATTTAATTTTGTATTTAAAAAAGTATGCGATCTAGTATTAGGTCTCAGCGATTTCTGGAGCATAAAGGTTAATTGACCTGATACTACTGAAATTCACAAGAAAACAAACCTCCCTCAATAATTCATGAATGCACTCATTCAGTTCACAAAATGAAAATTAATTAGTGATAGTGTGCATGTCTTTTGACCTTTGATTTGATAGTTAAGGAGGGTGAATAACAAAACATTGCTTCATTCTGGGGAAAATGGACCCATTCTAGTGACAAAATGAAAGTCGTATTTTGAGTAAAATCAGTGTAGAGCTTTAAGCTTTCATAAGAGACGAGTTTTTCTTATGAAATGTTTATTAGATTGCGTGACTCATAGGGGAATGAGAACAAAGACTCAGAAAGTAGGGAGATAATTAGATCATAGTTTTTATATATTTCGTGAATGAAGTGATCGTGTCTCTAAGGGAATTCATCAGATTTGAGAGTCTGCGTATTCCTGGTGGATAATGGTACTTTCTTCATAGGTGATAATCCATTATGTCAAATAGCCTCTGTCATTCTACATAAAGTACAGTAAAAAGTAGAATGTACTAGATCGTCTTATTATGGCAGTTGTGATACATGGCCTCTCTTGAGCACTGCTTACTATCTTGGTTTATGGCGGATTTTTATTTTGAATTATAGATGTTCTATTAATTCCGATTTTCACCCCTTTCAGCCAAAACACGTTCATTGGCCGAAACTCCAGGACGAACTCAAACGACAGCAAGTTCGATCTATACAACTGACGTGACAAGTTTCGGCCGAGTGCTGAAAGATCAGTTAAAAACTAACAAAACTAACGAAGTTCCTGATTACACTCTAGATTACGGTTACGAGGGTGGAGACACAAGCACTGAAGAAGAAGGAGAGGGCATTTCAAGTCCATTGCATGAAGAGAACTCTTCTGGATTCAACGAGGGTGGCTGTGAACCGTTCGGTGATGCTTTTGAAGCACTTGACCAAATCTCTGATAGGGATGACTTTTCTGGTGCCCAACGATGAAAATTGGTTAAATTTGATATATTGATGTTTTTACTGGATTATTAGCTGTAGCGCCTGTGCTATACGCATGGGCTCTTATTTCATAATATAATAATAATAAATAATCTCCTTGATTCAGAAAAAAATAACTTTTTTGTTACAATCACGTTATTTGTTTATTTGCCGCATTTTTATTTTCAAATATTTCTATTTCAATCTTTCGTCGTAGTTGGTAAAATTAGAACAACTAACCTCGTATAAAATTCTATTGTTTTGATTGTAATTGATAGTCAAATCCTGACTCAGATTTATTTATTTATTTATTTATATCAAATGGTAGGCGTTTTGATAGTTATCATTAGCCCTTTTGTTGACTTCAGGCTTCACAGATGGGAAGGAACATCAAAGTGAAAAAGGTCGAGATGGGGGGGGGGG